TGTTTATTACAATCTATTAATTGTCTAATCATTGCTTCATTTCTTACCATTTGATTGGATTTAAAATCAATTTAATTGTTGAGAGGTTTTCAAAAAAGCGATACAAAAACACATGCAATGAACGAAAAGCATATATTTTGCACACTTTTATGTAGTAATGAATGACTCGACGAAACAAATGCAACAGTAATTGAATGTATGCTATATATTGGCGTCAATAACGTTATACATATGCAGTCAATGTGTGACAAATATATGACATTCAATGTAAGCGTCGATTGAATGATGAAATGTATGCAAAGTATTAATGAATTCACTTTACGGACCCTCTCTTGCCATCTATTGGCCACACTTTACATACAAATAAGCCGTCAAATAGTCATTAATGACGTAACAGAGAGGAGGGGTGGGGGCAGAGGGGGGCAGAGGGGGACAGAGGGGACACACCATTGGTGTAAATGGTTTGTTATGTTTGGATTGAATTAGTGGTCATTATATAAATAGTGTACAAATTTAATGAAAACGTTTTTATTGAGCGCTCCTTTGAATGTATTTTTAAATTGAAAAGTATTTGTTGTTTACATTTGTTTTGATTGAAGACATGTTTTGATGAATGAATTATATAAATGAAAATACATTTCAATGAATCACTAATTGTTTGATTGAAATGTGTTTTTGAAAGAGTAGTCCTCTTATGGTTAGCATTGATTCAATCATTGATTCAATCATTTAATGAAAGTGTGATTTCATAACAATTAATAGTAATGTTTATAATGTTTACAATCAATGAATTGCTTTCGTTTCAAAGACCGGTATTTCTATTGTATTTGTATTTCTAATGTCTGTCTAAGAAATGAATGAATGGTTTATTGAAATAATTAATTGTTTTTTATTATCAATAATTGATTGTATGATTGAATGTATGGTTTGGTTGCTCTGGAAGTGATGTATTGAAGAGTGATTCGTAAGCCATTGAATGGTTGGATCAGTTGATCAGTTGATTATTAAGAGTTTGTGATTCACTGTCTATTGATTTGGTTATAAACTAATTGTATTTAGTCTTCAAATCGTTTATTACTGTTTTGTTTGTGATTTTATTAATTATTACTTAAATTGTTGTTTGTTTTAAAAGTTATAATCATTTTCTAAGTGTTTTTGTATTCATTTTGATTTCTATCACATTTTAGAGAAATATCTAAATATAATGAGAAAATCATTTCTTTGATTAATTTTTTAGAAAAGTTTTCGTTTAAAATTATTTTTTAATTAAATTATAATTTATTATTAATAATACTATTAATTAATTGAAATACTATTGTTTTGATGAATTGAATCCTAACTATTGTTTATATATTAAATAATATTAAAATACAATAAAACTGATTATATAATTGAATAATGGTTTCAATTCATACAGAAGTCTCGTTTCGTTCATCTTTGGGTGAGTTATGATTTGAGGCCACAGTCGACGGCACAGGTGTCGGAGCGTCCACTCGGATAGTTATACCACAGTCTTCCTCGTCGTCCTCTTCTCTCATTGTCGACAATCTCTTCAGCTCTTCCTCTGTCTTCCCGTCCTTTTTGTTTCCCCTCTTCTTATTATTTCTTTCAGTTTTTATGATAAAAGTTTTGTTTTGAGAAAAATATAGTTTTCAGTTTGAATTGCAAATCAATGATTGCATGAATACTCACCCGTTGTTAGACTTATTGTGTTTAGTCTTTTCGTGCTTTTGAATGCTTTGGTCGATTGACTTCCAGGCGCCGCTTTTGGCCAACTGTTCCGTTATGTTTATAGAGCACGGCTTGTCCTCATCGGCGCTGAACTTTTCCATCGGAATCTTCAATATGTTTCCGTTGGCCAAAGGAATGGCAACATTACCAGAGCTGGCGTTTGGAATCAGTTTTCCTCCCATTGTTTTCTCCTCTTTCTCGAGCTTTTCTTCTTCTCGTTTGCGTTTCGTGTGTTCAGGCATTACGTCGTCCAACAGTTTGAGTTCGTTTCGGGTGAAGAACAGGTCCAACAGTTTTCTTATGAATATAATTACGACCAACTGAGCGATCGCACAATCCTTTAGTATATATCGCAACAAAAGTAATGACAATCATTACTTACCATAAGAGGGAATGCAATCGATGTCTTCTTATATGACTTGACACACCATAAGAGCACAAAACACGCCAATTGTATTAATGTGAAGACATGCACCTTAATGGTGGGCACGTGTCTCAGGAACATGTAGTCCGGCTGATACTTCTGCGGCATAAATATTATGAGAATGCGGTCGAAAAACTGCACACAAGAATAGAAGCAAAATATGAATTAATAACATGTAATGAATGACTCTTATAATGATTACTTGTGATCCTTTGAGAGAAGAGGTTCCCATATAGAAGAATACCCCGAAGAGGACGGGCATTGGAATCAACGATAGTATTGGTGTGAATAGGACTGAGAGTCCAATCATCGTGAAAATGCATATATGAGTGACGCGCTGTTCGCGAACGCCCAAGAATTGGGGCTTTTCTCCCGGAGCCGAACACTGGGACTCCATCTTCAATGAGTTGACGTGAGTCATGGAGAGGACAGTGGCGGCAACGAACCATGGTAAGCCCATGATCGAGCATACGGCGATCAACACCGACAATACACACAAATCCAAGTGATATCCACAGCCTTTCTGTTAATTCATAGTAAATCAAGTGTTATATGAATTCAAGTTGACTACACTATGATTGCAAAATGACTATACTTTGAGCTTATATTCTTTGCGATTGATTATAACAGCAGTGATTTGTTGATCCATGAAGATCAGAATCGTCGCCAAAAGAGCCGGTAATGGCGTTAACATAAGGATATACCAGGGATTTGACTCGTGAAACATAGGGACGATCCATCCTCTGTCGTTGCGGGTGGGCTACAGGACAACAGCACAGACACTGTGTTAGCACTTGAATGTTATAACTATATTGTTATGTGTTATTACTTTGAACTCTGAGGGGACGTACAGCTTAGGGGTATTTATGGAAACAATACTATCAATAAAAGTCATTGAAACGATGGCTATAACGACCGCAAAGTCGCTAACAATTTGGCGAAGATTTGTCGGGAAGAATGTGGAGGTCTTAAAGTCTTTAAGCATAAGTGAGATGACATAAGTGGACGCAAATAGGATGACAGACAAGAGGAAGACATCCGAGACATAGTGCTTAGTCTCACAACCGATACCCTCGAGTCTTCCGCCAACATTTGTGCAGTTTTTGAGTCCGTCGTCAATGCGTTTATCGATTTGAATCAAATATTCGGTTTGATTTGGAAACGTACAAAAACAGGTGTAGTTCCGGACTAAGTCCGGGTTCGGGTTTATAGGGTTTTGTTTGGCGATGTCGTATAGCTTTGAAAATCAATTAAACAATGAGTTTTGTTTCTTATTCACACAATAGTTACTCTTACGTTATCAATAGCTTTATATATAAATATAACGCTTATAAGTGTTGCAAAGTTTTCTTCTGTGAAACGAGTTATATAACAGACGAGAGCACTGGCGTCGAAGGCGACCAAAATCATTAGTATGATTGCCACAGACATACCGATCCATAGACGGATATTTAGGTAATTAAAATCGTAAATCCTAATCAATTGAACAAATATTAGGCCAACTGACAAAATATAGTGCATTATGTATGTAAAGTAGTAATTACTTGCAAAAATCGTAAAGAATTGTCTCGAATATAAGCACCGGACCAGTGCTTCCCAATACTGTGAGCGGTTGTCCACTAAAAAAGCCGTAAATAACACCACAAACCAAACCACTCATCAAACTTTCCATCGTCGCCTTATTTGATTCAAACAATTTGTGTAAGCATTTTGTTCAGTAGATTAAAGCCTAAATTGTTGAGTGTTTGACATTTTTTTTGTTTTCAATCAATCGCTTACAATATTATTTCCAGTCGCCTCTCCCAACAGACCTCCAAATGTTATAATTGGTGTCAAACACGCGAAGTATAAGAAAAATATTGATGCGATTGATTGTAGAACTAAGGCATCTCTAAAGTCAGACAAATACCACGGAATTTTACGCTTCACGTCGTTTATAAGACCACCAAATAATCTATAAATAGTACACATAATCACTGATTGGTCGAGACGTGAAGCTGTCATACCTGCCCGATCTTTTAAGACCGTTTTTCTCGCGTTCTCTGTCCTCTTCGTCTTCTGAAGACAATTCCTTCACCTCTTGGTTGTCGTGCTTTTTGCGCGCTTCTTGTGATGGCAACTGATTTGGCGGTTCTATCCGAATGCTCGGATCCCAAGCGCCCGGCGGTAGTATTGTCTAAACAATATTCAATACGGTTTCAACACTTTTTCAAATATAGTTTATAAGTTATGTTTCTAACCACAGCGTCGAGGAACTCATCGACACCGGCCAACAGGTCTTCTCTGCTCTTTGCTTTATAGGCCACGTCATGAAATACCTATTATTAAAGTGGACACACTTTAGTGTACAGTCGTATTAAGTCTTAAAATATTTGAGTCGATAGATACCTCATCGGACATAAGAGTGGCCATCGCTCGACCGACTTCGTGATAACGGCCCGGAATGCTATTTTACACGAAAGAATTTTTTTGTTTAGTTTTATTGCAAAACTTTAAATTAATTCAATTGTATTTACAGTACATTTACTGATTTATAAATTTTCAAATACTTAATTGTCTACAATATAGTGATTAAACAATTAAACATAAATTGAAATGAATGCAAATGAAATGACTGGACAATACCTGTGCGGTCCAAGAAGTATGAAGAGAAACCTCGTGGGCACCGGTACTTCAGTCAAGTCTCCCAAATGACAGGCCTGATTGAGCCGAACGAACCCCGATATGGAGTGCTCGAGGAAATCGATTTCTCCCACAAGAATATTGTCCGCTTCAGAACCGGGAGGTATTTTTCGCATAAACGCCTGATTAAGCTGTTATTGAATTCAACAATTGAGTTGTGTTTGGTTTAAAGCCATTAAATATAATATACTTTGTGCTGCAGATCAGAACTGGAACTGGCGTTCAGATCATTATTTAACTGTCCCGTAGAGGCAGAGTTAGCCGTTTGGGACTGATTACTGGCGTGAAGGTGTAGGGATGTGACGCTTGGACTGTTCGGCATACCCTCATGATTATTGCCCGCTATTTATCACATTCAATACACGTTATATGAGTGCATATTAACATCATTTGTTTGTTTAAATTAATCGTCAATTAATAATTTCATTCATTTAAGTTGGTTAGAGTAGACACACGTTATAATATGCTTACAGTTTATAAGATTAGTTTAAACAAAATCATTCGTGTGATGAGAGACAACCTCTAAGTTAGTTGTGTTTGATTTCTAAATTCATTCAAAGAATATCTACTCTCTAAACAATTGTCTGACAAACACCTGATTTTTCCAGATTTAATCCTAAAGTACTTTGAAATGAAAACTTTCTGAAAGGGTTCCACTCAGAGGGCGGCGAATAGTTTTCGCCACTTTCTTTGTCCAACAGATCTATTGTTTGCAATAGTTTTATAGATTTCTCAATGATTTCTAAATATCTTATTTCAATAATTCATTTATTTATTAATAAAAATATTAAAATTGACTCTCAATAGAGAAGTTCACTTACTATGAGAACCAAACATACTTTTACTGGAATTGCGACCGATATCTGCGAGAGATCTAATCAATGGAAGTCTATTTTTGCTGTCATTCTTGTCGTGTCTTTTTTCGTGTTGATGTCTATGTCTTCGAAGTAATGCTTCCTTTACTTTAGTTTTAATATCAATCGAAAGTTGACCACAATTTACCATATTTTCCAGGACTAAATCTGATGTCCAACAAAACATTTATTTATTTATTTGATGCATAAAATATAAAACTAATATTTACCTGCGATTTGGTCTAAACTGCTTCCCTCTAAGTCTAACATAACGGTTCCGTTAAGAATACAACTCCTGAGCTCAAAAAGTGAATGCAATGAAATAGTGGCCACATGTGGTTTCGACCACCGGTCACCCCCTTCCTCTACATCCTCTTCAAACTTTATCCATCTTTTGTATAATTTGTGACAAATATTACACGTTATATACTATCAACAGACATACTAATTGTCAATAACAGTACCTGGCTGTTTCTCTCCACTCTACATCTTCTCCATTTACGCACAATTCTTCTAATTCACTGAACAGTGGATGTGATTCATGTGTGCCATCCATATCATCCTCTCCCAGAATGAACTGAACCCTATCCGCTATTTATGTAATATTTGTATTATAATTGTGTAATAATAAGGTAGAGCTCAAACAGAGTGGGCAAACATTGTTGTAATAAAATGTGGTTTTTAAACTGCCTTGTTAATTTTTCAACTGTTATTTATTTATAACAATCGTGTGCCTTCTGATTATTTTTAAAGTTATCGTTTATTAGAATTATTAGGCCTTTTCTAAATTTAATATAACTTACACTATACATGTATATGAATAATATATGACTAGTATTTAAATTAAATAGCGCTATTTGTATTTGTGATACTAATGTATAAGTGTAGATACAGTACCGGGTCTAATATGCCGGGAAGTGCTGTCATCGATGGTGTTTTCTTCTTCTTCTTTCTTTTTATTGCCATTTTTGTGGTGTTTGTGTTTCCTTTGATGGCCTCTTCGGCGATAAGTAGTGGGCATTTGAAAGCCATACGTACAGTACACGGTCAACGCTCTGTGGCCTTAAGTTACACAACCATTTTTATTATTAATGTATAAATAATAATATTATATTCCTTATGTATACAACAAATATATTACTTATTTAATGTAATCAAAAGTAAATAATCAAATTAAATGAGTATTAATAAAACCTAATTCTTTGAAAGTATGAGGTCCTCAAATTTCTTCTAACTCAATACGATTCTACTCTTATATAAACATTTAATGTATTTTTAGATCAAACATAAGCTTATTATTATTCTCCAAATATAAGTTATTAATCTTATGATTTTAAGTTTGGTTTCCACAGAATCTAAATCAAAACAGTACTCAACATAATTATAACAAATATACATCTGTATATTGTATTGTAAATATAATTTTATTGCAAGTTATTAACGTTAATGTGAGTTTTTAATGTATTACTTGTAAATTCTTTGTGTCATTAAATTTTGTGTTAATTATAAATTATAATTCTTTGATAATTGATAGAGAATTGAAAGATTTATTAATGGTTAACATTAAAATTGAAACCATGTTTCTATTGTCCCAAATATTATATTTACTGAACCGTGAGTTAGAATTTAAAATTCAAATAATTTATTATGTGTTGAGATATAAAAATCAGTGTTTCGTCTTATGTTCAGGAAATTTGAGACTTTATTAAATTTTCTTACAGTAACTGATATTTCAAATAAAAACAAGAATAAATGAAGAATTGTTTAAATTGTAAAATATTTATTCTTTATTTAAATTATATTTGAGTTATTCAGAAAATTTAAACAAATTAACACGTTTTAGTCATAGATATTGTAGAGTTTATGTCATCTCTATATTAGGACTCGTTTAGCTTTTAAAGCGATTTATAATTTTAAAAATAAAAAATATTATCATAAATTTATAATAACGTAATAATATTTATTAAATAAATGGATAGAAATATGAGTGTAATATTGAATCCAAAGTCAAAGGAAGTGCTGTAAAATAAACTCTCAATTATTATAGAAATAAAAATCAATAACCGATCAATTCTTGTCACATATTCTTTCGTATATATTTTAATTACAAAATAAATGTAATTTCAAAATAATTTTAAATAAATCAATAATATTGTTGTCAATGCATGTATTAATGTCTGAAATAACGTGTAATGATTTAATTAGTAAACATACCTTCAAAATCTTTGTCTGTATAACTGGGATGTGATGTAAGAGCGCCGGGATCTTTGGCCACTTCATCAGAATCAGGTCCCCGTTGTTTAGACTCCATTTGAAGACTTAAATGAATGATAAAAGTGAATAAAAAGTGAATAAACTAATAGTTTGATGGATTTGATGGCATCGACAGTATTTGAATGTTAAGACAGCACAGCATCAAAAGGAGGCAACGCTAGATATGTTACACAATCCACACCATAACTTGTCATAACTTATAGCAATCCTTTTAATGCCTAAAGCATTGACAAAACAGGTGTGAATGTCAGTAACATTTCATACATGTGTGCACTCATTAAAGATCATGATTAAAAAGGGATATATCGACACAAGTTCCATATCAAACACTAAACCATTGAAAAGCAATGAAATAAATGTTCATAACGAGTGCTTTAGTGTAATGTTTGATGAATTTTGCTCTCATAGAGAATGCATTGAATGCTTTGGCAATAGAGCTAAAGGTTTGGACTTGCGTTTGAGCGCATCCTTTCTGATGCCTAACCGCTATTAAACTCTATGTTATATAATATAAGAACTTATCTTACATTCAATGAGTTAATGAATACTTTATATTAAGAAATACATGAAAATTGTAATTCATATACAGATTGAATGTCATAGAATGGATGAGTAGAGTCCTGAAAGTACATCATACAAACAAATAGTAACAGACAATCATTAATATCACAAATATTTGATGTGAATTGTGATCAAAATTGCGTACATTTTGGTTCACATTAGCAGCACTTAAGAGCACATATAATGCACAGTATTATACAATACCAGAGTCTGTATATACTGTATATCGTATTGTAAGCTATGATTTGATGCTTCGCTTTAAGCATTCAATTGACGCAAACATTGCACTCATATATACAGCAAATCCAGTGAATGGATGGCATCTTTGGATCCAAAGAAGTGAAAGCCAGCGATCATTGTCTAGGCTATGGTGTATGTCTGCGCCCCTGCGCTCTCATCAACTCAATTGATCTCTCTCTACATCTGTAGCGCATTCACGCACTCACAGACTCACAGCAACACTCATTCAATGTCTCCAATCCTATGACCTTTCCATCCATTCTCTATCCATTGCTACCCATTCACTACAATTCACTCCAATTAATACAACTCTCATATAACATATAACATAGTATTATATTTAGACCCAAATATTAAATTATTTATTATTAAATATTTCAATTAATTACAAATCAAAAATACATACATTTGTTTCACTGATGAGAAAGTATTTGATTGTGATTTGTCTTTTCATACATCAATCAATGATATTTAAAACATAATAGTAAAGCCGATCAGTAATTGTGATACCGCTTAATACAATAAAATAGCAAACATTTCAATATAAATATTAAATATAAATAAAATTATATTAGAAAAATTGAAAAATTCTATTAAAAATCACAGACAATAAAAAAAGTTGTTGTGTTTCTGAATACAAAATAACTTATTATTAAATTAATAGTTTGAATAGTTTTTGGTTTTGGGTCATCGAAAGAGTAAATATAATAGGTTTACAGCAAATGTTAGGAATAATAGCACTGAAATATATCTCATATTAAATACATTGGAAATGCGAGAAAATTTTATATTTTAAGAAAATTGTTTCGTTTGTAAGAATACATCAATTTATAAAACACTGATTTTAATTGTAAATAAAAGCCAAAACCAAATGATTTAAGATTCTGAGATTTAAAGACTAGATGTACTTTTATGTATGAATTATCGCTATTATGCTATTAATGCTAATATTAAGCAATTGTCAAATAAACAAAACTTATTTCAAGTGTATAAAAAATTAATGAAAAATACATTAATTGTTATAAAAATTTCTTATAAGATATCAAAATTTTTTAAGAAGTATTAAATATGTATAAAAAATTAGCAAAAATGTAATATAAAACTCATTAGTGATGAGTCATTACAAGTGTTTTAGAGACAATTAATTCAATGACTGAATGGTATTTTAGTATAAATTCTTAATTATTTTGAATACTTTATAATTGAAGTATGAATTGATTTATCAATAAATTACTAATAAATAGAATGCAATATTTGATGGATAATTGTAAGCACATAAATAGCACTGAAAATGAGCTCCAAATCATTCAATACTCATTAAATTATATTAAATTTAGTTTAGTTGGAGCCATTGTACACGCATTACACTAAACATTTACTACTCATCACAAAAACACAAAATACAATCGGCTGAATGATATGCAGACGTCATTGAAATTATTTCTTCCGAAACTTATCCTCTTTTTTCATTAGCCTTTCCCTCGCTTTTTGCTCTTTTTCTAATGCTTTTCGCTCTCTTTCGACCTCTGCTTTGAATTCTTTGATCTTTTTCTTGAGAAGTGAGCGGTCCGTACTGTTAGTGACGCCCAGACTCTATGCAATCCAATGAAATAGAGTTTATTAAAGTTAACAATAAATTGAATAAAGAAGACTAACCTTAAGTTGAGTGCTGTCTAAATGCAAGAGAAAAGGCCCCGAAATCTTATTTTCTTGAAATTTATTAATATAAGAGTTGAGGTTAAGTGCGACCAACCACTGACACACCTCCTCAACACTCCACTCATAGATTGGATGAGCGTTTCGTCGATAGATTTTGGGACTATTTTCGTAGTCATCGATTGCATGGATGGGACTGTTTAGTGATGCCGACGATGAAGAGGAATGCACTGAATTGGGTGATACCGGAGCCGACATGCGTTGAGTTGGATTGGGTGGACAATGAGATGGATTTGGCGAAGTGCTGCTATAACTTGAAGGACTTGATGTGTTGGACACTCGCCTATTATTTTGAGGGTCACTCTTATCAGCGATTGGCAAATAGAATTGGTTTGACGTCGAATACATGTGTCGATCGATAGCAGGACTGGTCGGGTCGCTCTTCACCACTATTTCAGTCTCACATTTGGGATAAGAGACGATTTGTCTTCGCGGGGAATCGCCATCACTGGACACTTCCACAGAACCAGTACTGGAGTGGCGGCGCATAGAAGGCGGCTGTCGATTAGCGAGACTGCCTTTACTCGCGAGACCTGCTTTCTGTTTGGCAGCACTGCTATCCAGTAATTCTGTTTGACTTAAATTCAGATTTTCATTAAATCCAACGCTCGATGCGTTCGCTTCACACGTAGTCTCAGAGAATTGTTTCAAGAGTTGCGCTGATAGTTGTTTCACATGTTCTTCGGCTTGAGTTTTAATGATAACGTCTGAAATAATTTGATGTAAACTGGTTTCAGATATCATTTGGGTATTGATTCCGACAGATCTCTGAAACTCCAGAAGCTGTCGTTCCAACACTAATATGCGCTCTTTTAGCGCCTCAACTAAAGTGATGTAAACGTATTCTCTCTTTTGGTTCAGTTGTAAGAGAAGACTGTCATCCGGTTTGGCGGCGATTCCCAACTCTTTATGCGACAAATCCTTAATAACTTTCTTTGATTTATGATATTTCTTCTCCAAAGCGTTGAATTGAGTTCTCATATCATCGAGAAGTCTGGTGTACTGTTCGACCTCTTTTCGAGAACAGTTCACTTGGCATTCGTTTTGCTTCAACTGAACCAAAGCGTCTTCCAATTGGTTCTGCAATTCACTCACTTTCTGGTCGTATTTAAACTTAAGTTTTATGAGATCATCATTTAGTGAACAATTTTTCGATTCTGATTCAAGCAATTTGTTTCGCAAAACTCCCATTTCAGACATTTCTTCGGTAGACGTGAAGTGTTTGCTTTCGCTTATATTCGACAAAATAGTTTCGTTAATCGATTCGCTATTTTGAAAGTTTGAGTCAAACGCCGAATCAAATTCACTTGAGTTCATCTCTTCGTCGTCTTTGGCTTCAATTGTTGGCGAATCAGATGATGACATCAACACATCCTTCTGTGCCTCGAATCCATTGTCAGTGCAGTTCTCTGATTGTAGTGATTGTGAAATCAATTGTGCGATTTCGCTGTTTATGTTATCCCTCTCACGACCAATGAGAAAGCGGACGACTCCGCTCGTCGACCGCAATACTGACGCCGCATACGCTTGAGTCACACCAACCAATGAGTTGCCGTCAACTTCTATAATCTGATCGTTCACTTGAATCCTGTAAACCATTGACACATTTATATTAGCAAATCATAAATTGTCAATATTGTCACCTCTTATCGCGATCTGCAGCACCACTTTCGGTAATTGTCTTCACAAATATTCCCAACTTCTCAATACCAGCGTCAGCGCCGACACCCATACTATCAATTTGTTATGTAAAACAATTGTAATTAAATCATAAAAAATAATCCATTTTAAAACAAACCCAATAATACTAAGGCCGAGACCGTCGGGTCCTTTCATCAACTCAACCGGAAAGACATCCATTCTTTCAATACGTTTTTCCAATTCATATTCAGCCGAAGCCACCACTGGATCCACGTCTTCATTGCGACGATCATAGTCTTCGACGGAATGAGTGGAATAAACTTTCATTGGTTTCGAACTAAAGCGAACTCTTGTCTTCTTTCGCGGCGGAACCGGACATAAAAGCATTGAAACGCAATCTTCATTCTCGTCGTCACTATTGTCTGGAAGTCCCGGCGCTTCCATATAAAAGTGTCCATCAGGTAGAAGATGGTATTCGATGTCGTCTAATATAATACTGGTCTCACTATGAATAGTGGTCAAGTCATTCTCTGCATTCGCTTCTCCGCCACACATGTCATCGACATCGAGACCTCCATTGGATATAGTGATCAAATTATCAATGAGTTCAACGGTTGGCGTTTCGCCATTCATTCTTCCGTTTGACTCCAATTGTTTCAGATCTTCGACACAGTTTTGTTCACCAATTGGTTCCGTTTCCCTATTATGAGGCCGTAAAAGGCCTTCCATTTCTCTCTGGATCTGTTCATCTGTAAACAAGTCTTGCCATGACTTCCGACTCAAAAGTTTTTGTGCCTCTTCTTCGGTCATCATTTCCACGTCATTAAAGCATTCATCGAAGTCTAAAATGTCGGGAATGCCTGATGTGTCACAACTGTTCAAATCGGGAAGACTTTGATAATTGGTCTGAATTTGAGTCGAGATTTCTTTCTGATTGTCAGAGATTTCTAAAACTATTTTATCGATGAGTTCTTCTTTGGCCGACAAATTTGATAACTTTTCAGTCGCTTTTGAATTACTTATGTTTGGATAAGTGTTTCGTTTGTTCTCCACGTCTTGACTTCTGACCACATCTGGAACTAATTGCTGCGACGGTATTGAACTGTAACGCCGAAGAGGAACTGGAGGCGAGTCTTCGCAAACTTCGATTTGATCGACACTTCTCGACAAATTCAATGGTCTTCGTATGCAATCATTGATTCGATAGCCATTACTGTTGTCTTTAGACTCGTCACCCATTTGTAAATTATTAGAGAGATTGTGATCATTATTAGTATAAGTAGTTTTGGCAACAATTCGCTTCTTATTGTTATACATTTCAGTCGACGACTTCGGAGGAAGTGTAGGAACATCTTGATTACAAGAGTCCTCCAGAGTTTCAATCACTTCATCAATTGTGTCATTATTTGGATGAAAAGTGTTGGCATCGTTGGCACCATTCAAGCCATCATTCATCTGCATATCATTTGCCTCCGATTTCTTGGTTTCATTTGTCTGAAGCTTTTCAAAGATTGCTTTCGCGTTATTAAAGCGCGAAACCCGACTCTCTGTGCGACGAATGGCAGGACTGACTCCTTTGTTGGCCACAGATGTCACACAACTAGTATTGGACTCGACTTTTTTGGTCACAACTAAAGACTTGGAAGTATTTATTGCATTCTTTTTGGCCGATTCTTCGCTCACTTTTTGGATATGATCTCCATTTTTGAGTTTCTCTTTATTACCATTTAATACTTGAGTCTTATTTTGAAGACTTTTTTGATTTGAATTATGGTTTAAATTATTTGATTTTACTTTTGATTCGCTAATGACTGAAGAGGTACTTGACTTGTGATCAAAAGTCTTAATGTTATTCATATTGTTATTATTATTAGTGCTATTATTGAGTGAAATGTTTGCCTTCGCCGCCGAAGGAGATAACGATTGAAAGAGATTCGCGATTTGACTCACTTTTGATCCTAACTTTCGGCCATTTTTGCAATCAATGGCCGCAGTGTTGGAAGTGGTTATGGATGTAATGGATGTGTTAATTGCGGTCTCTTTTCTGGTCTCGAGATGAGTCTTGTCTTCAAAACTAAGTCTCAAAGAGTCGATGATTGGTCTCCTGTCGGCGGGCAATGGCCTCGAGTCCTGCCAACCCGTTCGCGAACGACTCGCCGCTAAGATCTCTGCCCTCACGTTAGACATTGTCTTCACTTGTCTTCAATTGCCTTCACTTGAGTTGTGCCCAGAAGTGTGTAAATGAACTCAATTTGAATGTCTATAAACTTATATTACATTAAATATGATATGAAATCTGAATCCCAATTAGTATTGATTTAAAGCACATAAAGAGCACCAAAACATTGGATACATTGAAAACACTTGTCTTTCAATCAACACTTCATCTCAAATAGTTTGACACCAGATATGAAACACTTTTGTTTCATTCATTCAATTAATACTATTATTTGAGAGCAAAACAAATGATTTACAAAATTATAAATAAATAAATGATTTCTTTTGTCACAAAATATATAAATCAAAAGCAATTGTTTTGTATGAAAGCCATTGGCTTTCAATATATAGACAAACAGATTGTGTTTATTGTCAACACATAAACTATTATCACATCTTTTTATTAATCATTTATTATTTATATTTATATTAAATAATTTACAAATCAATTAATTGATGACAAAAATACTGTTTTAATGAATGAATTAATCGATGCATTCATTGCCTCTGTTTTGCCCACAAATACATCCGTTTTCATCAAAAGGTCAATGAATTACGTTTTCTATTCATTCCCATCAATACAAGTGTATTATAAAACAGTCCGCATAGATGCGAGAGAGAGAGAGAGAGAGAGAGAGAGAGAGAGAG